TTGGCCATTAAACCACTGGTCCGGCAGCGACTCGATCAGTTAATTTCGGCGGAGATTATAGAGCCTGTTTCCAATAATATGGATCGGTCTTTCTGCTCATCCATGCTTGTCATTCCGAAGGGTAAAGATGATTTCAGGCTGGTGATCGATCTCAGAGGACCAAACCAATACATCTATAGGACTCCTTTCGTAATGCCCACGCTAGAAATGATCCTCGCTGAACTAGATGGTGCTCGCTGGTTTTCGACAATAGATTTGTCGAATGCCTTCTACCACATCGAGCTGGATGATGAATCGCGTCACCTGACGAATTTCTACACAGAATACGGAGTTTTCCGATGTGTCAGACTCCCATTTGGTTTATCCAATGCCCCGGACATATTCCAGGAAATGTTGGAAAACAATATTCTGAGTGGGTGTAAGGGTGTCAAGAATTACTTGGACGACATTTTGGTCCATGGGAAGTCCAAGGAGGAACACGATGCTAACCTTGCGGTTGTTCTAACTCGTCTTCGTAACCACAATGTTCAGCTCAACAAATCGAAATGCGTTTTCAGCAGCCAGTCAGTGGAGTTTCTTGGCTTCATACTAACTGCGGAAGGTTGGATGGTTGAAGCTGACAAGATCGACGCGATAAAGAATTTCAGAAGACCAGCCAGCTGCTCAGAAGTTAAAAGCTTCTTAGGTCTGGTAACTTTTACAGATAAGTTTATTGAGAATCGAGCGGATAAAACGGAGCGCCTCCGTACCCTAGTCTATTCGGACAAATTTTACTGGACTGACGAAGAAGAGCACGAATTCAACTTCTTACGGAATGACGCGTTGAAGACGATAAGGAAACTGGGATATTACAGTACTACGGACATGGTCGAGTTATTTGTAGATGCATCCCCAGCAGGTTTGGGTGCAGTGGTGGTACAATACAACGCCAATGGTAATCCTAGAATTATTGCTTGCGCGTCAAAATCGTTGACGTCCACCGAGAAACGCTACCCACAGACTCAAAAGGAAGCGCTAGCAGTAGTGTGGGCGGTTGAGCGTTTTTCGTACTATCTTCTGGGGCGCTCATTCGTCATTCGCACCGACTCAGAAGCTAACGAATTCATCTTCAGTATAAATCATCGCCTCGGTAAAAGGGCCGTAACTCGGGCGGAATCATGGGCCTTAAGGCTCCAGCGTTATGATTTCCGGATCAAGACAGTACCTGGAGCACGAAACGTGGCCGACGCGTTGTCAAGGCTGATTGACGAGACTCAAAGTGCATTTCCATTTGAGGAGGAGGATTCGAATAACTTTCTATATGCATTGGATTCCGGGTGCATGGAGATTACTTGGGACGAAATCGAGAAAGCAACTGAAGATGACAGCGAACTAATGAGAGTAAAGCTAGCAGTAGAGACCAACGAGTGGACCGAAGCACTGCGTAAATTTGAAGCTCAAAAGAATAATCTACGCGTGCTGGGATGCCTTGTATTTAAAGGTGATAGAGTGATCTTACCCAGGCTACTCCGGATGAAAGCAATGACATCGGCACATGGAGGGCATGTAGGAGAAGCGGCAATGAAACGGATCATGCGTGGATTCTTCTGGTGGCCTGGGATGTCGACGGACGTAGTTCAATTTGTGAAATGCTGTGAAACGTGTGCTGTTCTAGCTCGCAAAATCCTCCCTTACCGCTGTCTAGCAGAGTGTTACCCGAAGGGCCGTGGGAGATTATCCAAATTGATTTCCTATCTATACCAGGTGCCGGAGCGGGCACATTCTTAGTGGTCGTTGACACGTATTCGCGATATCTATCAATGATAGAAATGAATCACACCGACGCTGAAAGTACCAACAGGGCGTTGTGTTTGATTATCCAGACATGGGGATGTCCAGTATTGTCCAGCTATCATCCAAAGTGATAACGGCCCTCCGTTCCAAAGCTCGGCATTCGTAGAGTTTTGGGAAAATAAAGGAATCAAAGTCCGGAAATCAATTCCACTTTGTCCCCAAACAAACGGAATCGTCGAGCGACAAAATCAGGGCATAATCAAGGCGGTAGCCGCATCAAGAATCGATGGCGAAAATTGGAAAGCGGCGCTAGAACGCTATGTTCATAATCACAATACCCTGATTGCTCATTCACGTTTAGGTGTGACACCCTTCGAGCTGTTAGTCGGCTGGAAGTATAGGGGTACCTTTCCTAGCCTTTGGAAGGAATCAAAAACTGAGTTGGATCGAACGGATATTCGCGAACGAGACGGTGAAGCCAAACTTGTCAGCAAGCACTACGCAGATAGGGCACGAGGAGCAAAAGAATCTGAAATTGCCGTCGGAGATATGGTGCTCATGGCTCAACAAAAAAAGACAAAAATGGATCCAACATTCTCATCGGAACGTTTTACCGTGTTGGCAAGAGAAGGAGCAAAGGTTGTTCTGGTCAGCAGTGGAGGCGTTCAGTACTCAAGAAACGTACAGGATGTCAGAAGCGCTCCGATTACTTCAAGCATCGTGGAATCTGTTGACCAAGCATCCTGTTCAAATGATATTCCAAGAACCTTACGACAACGGAAGAATATCAGAAAACCAACGCGATTTGGTGATCAATATGTATACACGGTTTATTGTTAAGAGTGGAGAAGATGAGATATGTGGGAGATAAGCGAGGCACTTGAAAGTTGAATAAATATAACAAAACATAAACATTAGATTATTTCATTTCAGCCTAAATAAATCCAGGCGAAGATCGGCCTTGATTCCAGTACTTTGGCTCTCTTACTTCCATTATGCTTTTCCACGGACTCTCATTCATCCTAGACTCTGGTATCGGTTTGTCTCTCTTTAAAGTCTCTAGTCAACCAGTCCTCGTTTTGCACGTCATACGGTATACGAGCGATCACCAACACCTTCAGGCGGTTTGGATGAAACGACACGAGTTATACTTACACTTACAGTGCGATGCGAGCGGTGAGAGTTCTTTCTCTCTCTCTTGCGAGACCTTCGACGAGCCGTGCAGATTTCGGACCAGCCAGGAAAAGTTATTAACGGTATTCGGGATTCACTCGATGACACTTGCCACGAGCAGACGTGAAGTTTTTAAGATGGGCAGAACGAAGGATATTGGAGGTCACCACACCTCAGTCTCAGGGCACCTTAGTTTACATGAATTTTTCTAAGTGTACAGTCCCGATCAAACGAGTACACACACACTTAGAAAAATTGATGTAAATTTAGGTGCTCTGAGACTGACATATACGAGCGTCATTTTTCACATAAAATTGAGTCGTAATAGGCGTGAAATTCTGCTCAATCAAACGTACTTTCAAACTTTTCAGTCTCGGAGCACTTAATTTTACATGACATGTTTTTTTACGTCTCATCCTTTATGTCAAAGATCGATTCCGTCACGTGTAATATTAGGTATTTCTAAGTGTGCAGTATAGTGGTTTCAAACAGTACACGTCTTTGTAATATGTATATAAGAGACGCGTCTACTGAATGTAATCCAAGATCACCCCAATATCTTTCACTAGGCACTCTCTACTAATACGAACACCCGGCAAAGAATAGTCGTAAACACTTAGAAATACCTAATCTTACACGTGACGGAATCCATCTTTGACATAAAGGATGAGACGTAAACAAACATGTCATGTGAAATTAAGTGCTCCGAGACTGAAAAATTCGAAAGAATGTTTGATTGAACTGAATTTCACGTCTATTATGACTCAATTTTATGTTAAAATTGACACTCGTATATGTCACTCTCAGAGCACCTAAATTTACATCAATTTTTCTAAGTGTGTAGATACGTGGATGTGGATTCTGGAAATACCAAGGAATCAACCAGTTTGCTCCACGTTGCGGAAGCACGTCTTGCCTATACTGCAGCTGGTATCCGAAAGAGGCCGAAGCTCGGTGTTGCACTGTCAAGTGGACTGCTGCAACGGGCTGGCGTTACCAAGGTGTACATATGAGGTGCGACCAACAAGTAGTGTGACGGGCAGTGCTGCCGTTTTATATTCTACGCCCACACAGTGGAGTCTGGCTTCTTGTGACTGAAATTACAGCGCACTTATTGGGTTTAGCACCATTCTGTTCTATTCGGGTTTAGCACCATTCCCGTCGGCGAATATATGGTCACGCCGAACGTGAACCGTATTTTGTAGATAATATGTTGACCCCACATGGTCACCGTACACCCACTCCCTGCCCATAGTGCAGAAAAAATTCTCGTTCCTATTCTCCAACTCGACTATATGCAGCACACAGCTGATTGACGTCCAGATGATGAGAAACAATAGTTTCATCGTGCAGCGAATCCAAACACATAAAGCAACCAACGATAAAGACTAAACGGTAGCCACGACTACCATGACAAACTCGCTCTGTAACATAGCTCGATCGGACCGGTACCGGAGGTGTAGAGGTAGCGTGATTAACTCTCACCCCAGCAGGTTCAATCCCAGTCAGCGTCGCCGGGATGTTCTGAGGCATAACATCTCTGATCACGCCTTCCTTCGGAAGGGAAGTAAGATCGTTAGTCCCCGGTTCATGAGTTAATGGGTCGATATGTAGGGTCCAGGTGTCGAAGATCGACGGAAAACAAATCAAGCAAAAATAAATAAAACATAATAAGTTGATTGCATTGATTTTATAATTCCTAGAAAATCGAAAAAAAAATTCTAGATCTAAAAAATTATTTCCATCTACATACTACGCAGTTAATACAACACGGCCTTTTCGGATCTCCTCCCTGGCGTCGAAGATCGACGGAAAACAAATCAAGCAAAAATAAATAAAACATAATAAGTTGATTGCATTGATTTTATAATTCCTAGATCTAAAAAATTATTTCCATCTACATACTACGCAGTTACTACAACACGGCCTTTTCGGATCTCGCACTAAAAACACAATCCAGGTTTTGTTTTCACATGTTTTACTGGCATACACTCGCATCTAATAAATATTCTCGAACATACCATCATTCTCTTAAACCTCCTAGCATCTAACATTTACCCTGCACACGGAAGCTGATTGTACCTCAAACAAGCCCCGATGTTGTCCTCCGGACTGCCCTTATCCATACCTTCTCCAAAATGTATCCCCAACCCGAACGGTGTAACGGAAGTTTCCAACCGGCACGGGGACACCCCGAACGGGCACAGCGAGTTTCCACAGTGCACCGGAATGCAACTAGGCAAATCACCCATACCAGCCCCTATGAAATCCTCCACAATACAGGGAAGCGTTATCCGATCCCTACAGTTGGAGATAAACTGCCTCGAATAGCCACCAAACTGCCGACCCTGGCGATGGGATCCATCGAAGTTCCGATACGTCTCGAAAATGCTTCGCGAAAAGAACGACGGGAAGAAGCTATCGAAGAATCCACCTCCACCCCCACCGGAACCTTCATCCGCAGCGTCCGGCTCGTCCGCCTGTGGTTCGTCGGCTGCTGGTTCATCGGCTACTGATTCGTCGGCTACTGATTCGTCGGCGACCGGATCTGCCAAGGCCGGTTCATCTGCAGCCACTGCATCATCCGCCGGTGTGTCGAACAACCCTGGTCCCGCATCATCGACATCCGAGGCGGCTGGAACTGTATCACCCCCATCTACAGGGATATCTGCTGCCGGAGCTAGTGGGTCATTGGCGAGGGCTGGATCAGAAAACGTTCCCGTTCCTCCTGGCCCAGCAGATCCACCTGGCCCGGCTAGTCCACCTGGGCTTCCGGATGAACCCCCTGGGAAACCACCTGGCGAATTACTTCCTCCTCCGTTCGACAAAGGATTACCTATTCGAAAAGATTGATCATCACAAGGCTCGTAAGCCACCGAACACATTCCCTTTTCCTGTCGAATACACGCTCGGTAATTGTGATTCGCTAAATGCCGTCCATTATCGGCGAAATTGAACGTTTGGATGATTCCTTCCAGTCCCGTATAATACTGCATACATCCGCTCGGAGCCCGCTGGCTGAACGGTATCTGTGTAATCTTGATTTCCCACAGTCTCTGCGTGAAGGACCGCGGCGAAAAGTTCATCAACAGTTCAATCTCCTCGTCCGCCCGGCTCTTTGGGTTAAGATCGTAGAATAGGTGCTGGCCACCGTTTTGACCGCACAGGTCAAACGGCAACACTCCGCCAATTAGTTTAAACACGTCCCCATCGCAAATTCCCGTTCGTCGATTCGGTTGTCCCTGTGGAATGAAAACCAAATAAACAGACACGGTCAAAACATTCAACAGGTTCAACGGGCATCCGAGAACGGTAGTGACAATGAATCTAATTACGCTCAATTACCAATGCAAAATGGATGAAATCGAATTTCAGTTGGGTTATTTCGTCGCTCATCAGCTTGATCTTCAGCTTGCACACTGACATGGTCCGGGACAGCAACGCCGGGAAGCTGGGTGATATAAAGTACGTAATGTTGTTACCCATCTCCTGGTCGCATGTGGCCGTAACTAAATGAGAAAAGATAGGGAAAAGGGAAAAGTTTTTTTTTGCAAATTAGCTTGACCAAAGTTTGACAATAAAATGAATAAATAAACAAAAAAATTAAAAGAGTCGTTTCTCGGTCTCCCTTCCTCTCCGTGAAGTGGTGAAGTGGGGGGTGGAATTAAGTAAGCCTTACATATGCAGCAAACGCCAAAACCGAGCGCACATTGGCCCCGCGCTGAGCCACCCTGGATGCGACACTCGTACTTGTTGAGGCACTGGCCGGTGCGAAGTCCGTCGTCCGAAAGGCACTCGTCATCCACTGGGACCGGCAAAAAGTTGAGCACTGCAGAGTAGAAAGGGACACGTAAAATTTACAATTAATTACCATGAATCCCGGTGAGTGATGGCAGTTGGAAATTGAGTTTTGAAAAAACAATTTTTCGCTGTAGGAAGCACCCATTTAGAATGACTTTCGTTTATCATTTGTGATGCGTTGTTATTGGGAGAACCGGGGATCGTTTCGGCACTAGGATTTCGCAAATAATTTGACATAATCAATGAATTAGTTCTTCATGTCGGTAATTTGATTAACCGATATATCAACAGTAGGGTGAGTCAACTTTATATGGTGGGTCACAGTCACAGGCTCCTCACAGCTCTTTCGATTCGTTTTGGAATCCCCAGCAACTGTGCCAAATTTGATTGGAATCGACTACGATGTGGATTTGCAAGAGTGTTTTAAAATTTGTATGGGAAATGGCCCGAAACGGTTCAATTGCATGTAAAAATTAAAAAATCGCTCCATTTTTTATCAAACCGAGGACTTAGATTGAGAAAACTATACAGAACAAGTACGTCAAGGACCATAAATCGATTCAACCTGTCAGCAAAAGTAGAATTTTTTGTGTACTGTTGCCATGGTGCTTTCGTTTTTCCTCGAATCGTTTCGCCGTCTTGAACGAATTTGTTCTCAATCTAAGTCTAACGTTTGGTCAAAAGTGAGTGAGTTTTTAAATTTTGACTCGCAATTGAACAGTTTTGGACCATTTCCCCATACAAATCCAGATCTTAACCAAATTCGTTCAAATTTGACACAGTTGATGTGGACCTAAATACTAATCGAAAAACCTGTAGGGAATAGGAGTTTGTTAATTTAACTCACCCTAATGAAGAGTTTTTAGAGTGCATTGAATAATTTACTTTTAATTCCGTTATAGTGTGTTACCTCTGACCAGAAACGAAAATTTCGTCTACAACTTGTAGACTACCGTATGCGTGATAATGTTTGCACCATCATACAAATAAGGTTCCCGTTTCACCTGTGCATACAATTCCTTGGTTTTCTTTGCATGCACATATCCTATAGCTCATACCGTAGTAGGTTGTGTATAAAAGAAAATGATTTACTTAGTTTGACAGTTGCACCATGACGAAGTGGCAGCGAATTAGTGATTTGTCTCACGCGCAAATGTCGCAAAAAGACATTTCAATCGCCGTGGGAGTGTCCCGGTGGGCCGTCAAAAGGGTTTTAGACCGAGAAAAGAAAGAACAACTATCCGCGAAGGTGGCCATAGGTCGTCCGAGGTCAGTTCGGACTCCGAGGGTTATCGCTGTTATCAAAAGGAAGATTCGGGTGAATCCAATGCGTTCAATAAGGAAAATGGCAAAGGAACGCGGGATCAGTGACTTTACGGCACGGAAGATCGTAAAGGAAGATTGCGGGGCGAAGTCGAGGGCACGGAAAAAACTCACATCCGGGAGCTACGAGTCGAACGATGCAAGAAAATCTTAAACTTCCTTAAGCGAAAAAATCGAGGTTTACCGTCGATCCCGTATCAAATTTCAGAACCGACCGGTATATTAGTTCTCTTCCGGAAGACGTGGCCGACAAGCACAAGAACGTGTATCTGACCAAGCATCATGCTAGCGTTATGGTGTTTGGATTGGTGGCGCGTCATGAAGGCCAAGGCCTGTTCTAAACGCCACCCGAGTACAGCAAGCCTCAGACAAACATTGACCCGTACCTGGAGAGAAATGGATCCAGACTACATTATTAGAACCTGCCGTGCATTCCGGAAGCGTGTGGAGGCCGTAATTGTAGCAAGTGAAAACTCGATCGATGATTATCATAGGTTTAGGAATGGGCGATGTCGATGCGATTTTTACAGAATCGATTTTTTTGCCTCGAAAAATCGATTTTTTTCATCCGATCTTTTTCTGTTCGATGTTTGACAGAATCGATTTTTCAAAGTTGATATCGATTTTTTACTCATTTAAACTTTTTTATAAAGCCTATAAAAAAACAAAACGCCTGAATTACCAAAGGAGAAAATAAAATCGCCGAACTCTTTTTATGTTGTTGTTGATTTTGTTGAATCAAATGTTATCATTGAATTCTTGAAAAAAGATAAACAAATGGTATTTCACTATTCCAAAAATATGTTTTTATTGAAAATCAAGCGATTTTAATTTCATTGTCCTCAAATTTTGCTAAACACCCTTTCAATCTTGGGCTTTATTTATTTGTTACTTTTTATGTTGTGTGTACTTAGGACCAATTCTTTCTAATTCATCCAGCTGATTTTGTTGCAAAAAAAAAACACGCACTCCTTGATGCAAAAAAACATTGGAAAGGTGAGTTTTAATACCTACACACTAAGATTATTCAACAGATTTCTGTAAAATTTTACCGAAATCTCAACAGCTGAACGTTCGGTAAACAATTTTACAGTTTTCCTGTAATTATTTACAGATATCTGTGAAAAATTCACAGATAATTGTGAAACATTATAGGAAATCTGCGAAACTGTTTACCGAACGTTCAGCTGTTGAGATTTCGGTAAAATTTTACAGATTTCTTTAAAAAATTCTAAGTGTGTACAGAAGATTTTGAAAGCTCAGATATAGAGTTGAAGTTGTATAACACACTTAGAAAAAATCATGTAAATTTAGGTGCTCTGAGCCTGACATATACGAGCGTCAATTTTGACATAAAATTGTGTCATAATAGACGTGAAATTCAACTCAACAAAACGTATTTTTCGTCGAGTAACGAACTTTTCTGTCTCGGAGCATTTAATTTTACGTTACATGTTTGTTTACGTCTCATCTTTTATGTCAAAGATGGATTCCGTCACATGTAAAATTAGGTATTTCTAACTGTGAAGCTAAATATTCGCAATATTTCTTAATAATTCGGTTTCAATATTTAAATCGAGGGGGACGACTCTATCTACGATGTAGGAAATATTGTGATTTACTGTGGCTAGCTGTGCGTACGCTGAGTAGATAGAAAGAAGATTTATCACGATTTGGGAGATTTCCTCCATCGCGCATCATCGATGCAAGTAGATGCGAGAAATGAAAGAAGATTTTTAGAAGATTGATTAGCTAGTGTGAGATTTTTCGAGCATCTAGAATTGAGATTTAGATGTGTCGCCCCCCACTATTTAAATAGAGTGCAATTGCTTTTGTGAATTGGTTTTATACAAATAAATGCTCACACACATACACTAAAACAACAGGAAGAGGAATATTTCGTCTAATAGAAGATTATAAAGCATAATTCAAATATTTAAAAAAAATCGATTTTACTCGAATCGATTTTTGTTCTTTCGATATTTTAGAGGATCGATTTTATAGTCAGTTGTAGAATCGATTCGACAACATCGATTTTTTGTTTCAAAACGCCCATTCCTGCATAGGTTAAGACTCTGAGAAACATCTCCCCTCTGAATAAATAAAAAAAAAACTCGAAAACGAAATTTTTGAGATTTTTTTGAATTTTGACATTGCTTAATGGTGCAAACATTATCACGCATGGTAACTCAAGTGACACTGAAGTGCTTGATCACATATTAAAGCCATATTGGTAAAGTTTTGAGCTTGAAATTGTGGGGTAGTGAAATATTCAGAAGATTGCATTAATACTTGAATTGTGTTCGCTGAAGAAGAATTTGGTGCTAAAATATCAACAATTGTTGTAGTTTAAAAAACTGCATATTTTATCGCAAAATTTTTAAATAATTGCGCCTAAATATAGGCAATAACATAAGTTTTTCACATACAATAATTATTATAATACAAACTCGTTCATTTTAACGAAATCTGGTTTCAGATTCAGATTCAGCGATATCAAATTAAGCAATATAAGTGGCCTCCCTTAGCTCAGTTGGTAAAGGCGCAAGTACAAATCAAGACCATGCTGGATGTGGCTGGGTTTGATTCCCGATCCGGCCTAGGCATTTTTCGGGTTGGAAAATTTCGCGACTTCCCTGGGCATAAAGTGTGTGATTGTACTTGCCACACAACTATACTAATGCATAAATGGTACATGCTCGAAAGCTCTCAATTAATAGCTGTGGAAGTGCATCTGGAGCACAAAGTTGTGAGTACACAATATGCTAATAACCTTGAAATGCAAAGAGGACGAAGAAGAAGAAGAAGAATAAAAAAGGAACTATTTAACCTGAGGTGCGACACATCCTAATCACAATTTTGGAAGGTCAGAAAATTTCACGTTATCGAATAAATCTACGATAAATCTTTTTTCATCACTTGCATCTAAATCCATCTAATCACATCGCTCTCCAACATTTTGCAGACAATGTTCCAAATATCCATCAATCTTTTTTCTATCTACTAAGCTTGCGTGCATCTCAGATACAGTCGCCCTCCTCGGATTTAGCCGAACAAAGCTCTAGAATAAATGTTGATTATGATCGGATTTTGAGGAACAATTAAATGTTACATATTTTATCTTTTCAACAAAATTGTAAATTTAAAGCGATAGTAGTGATCAACTTCACCCCGTTTTACGGTATTTAAATTATAATCATTTTACTATACGTACTCAAACTTCTTACAAACTTTACCGTTCATGCTAAAATGTGATTCAATAAATGTTGAATATTGGATCCACCAGCAGACAAAGTTCTTGATATATTGATGCACATACTGGAAAGTTACAGCACTTTGAAGTATTTGGAAGAAGCATAACAATTACGGTGATTACTTTATTATTACCAGTACTGTATGTGTCGAAAGATAAGCACCAATAACGGCATTAAAAGGAAGTTATTCAAACCACTCCAAAAAGCTATTCATACAATTCATGCTGTTCATGCCGTTTTAAGCATTTTCAATAAACCTTCAAATCCTTCAAGCGTACATGAAATGAGCATTTTCTAAATCTACACCGTTGGTGATAGGGAGGTATTTGATAGACACACCTTGCAGCGTACCGCAACGTCGTCGCCTTCATGATGTAATACGTATTAAATCCGCTAATGCAGCTTCGAAGCTTTCTTTGCCAAAGCTACCCCCTCGCACTCCAAATCTGCCATATTCGTTTGCTTTTTGACTACCAGCTTCATTTCGCTACTACGGTTCATCACCACCACTGTCGATGTGACTGGGAAATTGTAACAGCATCAAAAACCACCACGTTGAAGCAACATAAAATATGCATTTTCCACCACCCAGGGCACGGAGATATAGCTGATCAACGAACGCTCGCAGCTGCATGGGAAACCTAACGGTTGGCGAAGATGCGCGATTGAAGGATGGATGTGGAAAATTGGGAGTGAAATATTTTACGACGATTACACAGCACCATCAGGTGATGGGAAATAAACCGGGAGGCGAAGCCATAGTCGTAAAAAGTTGCACTGTTAAAGTGCTAGTCGATGTAAGATTATCAGATTAGCCGGAATGAAAATTTGCATCAAATAGAACAAAAGTTCGATACTCACCCTTGGCTTTTCGCCCGCTGGTCCGATTAGCTGCAGCAAAGTCATTGCTCTGGTCCAAATCGAAAACGTCGTTTTCCAACAATCCGTCCACTCCGAACATTCGACTTCGCCGAAAGCCGGTCCCATTGCGTAGGTTTTGGCCGGAATGCGGCGACGAAGCGGCGGATGAATACGACGATGAAGATGACAATGATAAATCTGCATCCCGCGAGACCTGTTCGGCCGGCGGACCCCAGATGTCATAATTTTTCATCACCGGCCAGGATTTGGCTGCGAGTGAAGGCGCCGCTTGACAGCCATTCCGGAGCAACACCATCATCGGCAGCAGGGTGGTAACTGTCACCACCAGCACGGATGTCACCGCCCTCGGTAATGCAATTAATTCGTGCTGATTCACATTTAATTTTCGCATACTTTTCACCAGCATTATGTTATTATTATTATTTTTTTTTTGATCTTCTGTCTCTTCAGCCGTGGCTTATCGCATGATTGGGTTGTGCGGTGGGATCCTATCACATGTTTAATCTGGTTCTGGTTCACTTCATGCGCGGTTCAATTGATAGTCACACGCTGGATTTACGGTATCGGGACACTAATTAATCATTACAGGATTTTATATGTCGAATGTCCACTATGATTTACGGCTCTGTAAATATTGTTTAACGTCAACGAAATTTACCACGCACGAGCTGACACTTCGAATGAAGAAATTTACATGGCAACAATTGCTATGATATACTTTAATCGCTCAGCATCAATCGGGATAAACTGATTTTGAAGCATAACAGCGGAATTAATTCTGTTTTATATAGGTAGACGAATGTTTCCCAATAACGAAAAAAAGCCATTCTGCAATTTAATTCCATAAATTACACTTGTAAATTGATGGGACACTGACAATGAAGCGAGAAATATATATCACTATGAATTGGAATGTGAAGCACAAAAAAAAATGAACACACCGAAAGTACAGTATAAAAATGAACATTGAAAAAATTGGAATCCACTCATTCCAGACCACACCAAAGGGGGATCTGGTCGGAAAACGTGAAGAAAAGCGAAAATCAACATGAGCATAAACAAACGACGGGTAGCAAATAAAACTGAAATTGCAATTAAAAAACAGTTCTGAATATGCATGTGCACGGTTGGAGGGGGGGAGGGGGCACATGGAAACTTCAACCTGGGTAGTGCCAATAAACCAAGTTTTGGCTCGCTGCGCCATTCAGCCTGGATCAGTCATGTAAACCTGTAGTTGGCAGCGAATTGGATGCTGTTGACAGTGGTAACCATCAGCGGTGACGGTGAGTTGACATAAAGTGAGAATCAGTGGACGGTTTTCAAGTTTTTAATGATGTATATATGATATACTGTTGAATCACACTGCAAACACTGAATTCTGATCATCCAAGTCGGTTGAATTTTATCGGGTATTTAAACAGCTGAAATGGTCGGTCATATTTTCAAATGACCGTTAAACTTAATCAATAAAATTGACAAATTACATGCTTTATCATTAAATGGGGTTAACAGAACAAAACTTGTAAAAGTTTGGAATAAATTTTCTATTTTTTAACTTTTTTTTTTATTTTTAAACTCTTACCTAACAGTTCCGTAGTTTGAAAATTAGCGAACAGTGGATTAGTATGTATGAACCGTGGACATTCACTAACGTACTTATCTGCCGCGTAAAAATCGGCTCCAGTGAACTCGTTCAGACAAATAAATAAAATCCTTATAAAAAATAGAAGGGTCTGTGTCTAGGGGCACGAACGAAAGCTTGACATAGAACCACTAGTGAACGGAAGAAATGTGAAGAGCATTTAGTTCTTGTAATTGATCGATCATCTATTATCTTAACTATTTCCGTTTTTTAATTGTAGGCGTACCAAATTTGTAGTATTATTTTTTTTTTTTTTTTTCAAAGATCAAAATTACTTGCACCCCTGCTTCCAAGTTTGGTTAGAAAATTACAACTCTGAAGAGAATTGTGAGTGGTTGTTGGGGGCGTGTGGTTCTGAATATGGACAAACAGGCACAGATAAATTCTATTCCAATTTCAATTGAATTAGCCCGAAAGCTCTTCATCTTTGGTTATTATGTCTGTAACAAGTTACTGTTTGATTTTAGTTTAACATTGTAATAATTTACATTTTGCTTTTAAGGAGTTGAGGTTAGACAGCAGCGCTCTTGTAAACCTTTTCAGGTTAAAGCAGAATGATGTGCAACCAAGTGGTACTCCTTCTTCCTTCTTTTCCTTTATTTAACGTCGGTCTCTGATCCGCAATCTAGTGCCAATCACCGACGGACATCGATTGCCATCCATTGACGGCAATCGAATGTGCAGGAAGGCAGCTTCCACACCTGCGTAGAATATCGCACCCATTCAACACACATGGGCCGGGACCAACGGCTTTACTTCCCTTCCGAAGGAAGACGTGACCAGAGATTTTTATGCCTCAGAAAAATCCCACCGACCTCGACTGGGATTGAACCCAGACCCATTGGGGTGTTAGAAAACAGTCACGCTTACCTCTACACCACCGGCGCCGGCAAGTGGTACTCGATTATGACGACTGTTTTTGGGAAGAACGTTTGTTTCATGAAAAAAGTGATACATCTATCACTTTTTATTTGTACATTGGACAGTTCTTGACATTGCCACTTTTTCAATAGTTTCTTGTGGAAAATCATCAGTCAAAAGCATTACTATTGATGCGTAGAAATATTTCTGATGATGATAAAATTATTGAAATTGGTCCAGGGGCAGCTGAGACATTAATGTTCAAAATCTTTCATAATTGTGTTACATGTTCCATTTTCAGTTTTCACAAAGTTAACTCCCTTATAGAAATCACAGACGTAAGCCTACGTCAAAAGTGAAGAATTTTAAAGTGTTTGTTCTACGAACTTTTCACCCATATGATATAAAAATGTATAGTCTACGGCATTATGTTCCGTATACTGTTCTAGAAATTTCGTTGAAACATAGTTTTCGTGTAGATTCCATAGATTGAGAGATAAAAATCTAAAAGAGGCCTTTATAGCTAAAATTCACAAGACAACAGAGCCAATAAAAGTTTCAATTAGATTGACAGAACATAGTTGCATTGCTTTTCAATGACTACCGATGACTGTTTTTTATTGATGGATGATTTTTTTTTAGAAATATGAATCCTCAGTAGACGTTTTTTTTCTATCAAAGGCAAGTGTCACTCGAGGCATCCCAAATGGGGGATGTGGAAAGAGCTACAATCCCTCGAGTTTGTGTGGTAAGACCGCATTTTGAAAGAAATTGTCTACCATCCGCAAGGGGAGTTCTTCTGGTATTTTTCTTTTTTTTTGCACTACCATAGAACAGAACAAAAAACTGTACCCAAGAGTTGCGCTATAGTTCCTAAGAAAATAACAGCAATTCATAAAATAACGAACATTTTGGATGGCTCGAGTGACACTTGCCATTGGTGGTGAACCAGCAAGCCTGGGTTCAATCTCAGTCGCATCGGCATGTTCTGAGCAGCGTTGTCAGTATGATCACCTGGAATTTATTTAAAGTACTAGAATGGTTATAAATTACATGTTAAAATAAATTATATAAAGCAAATAACTTGTTAGCATTGCTAAAATCATCCAAAGGTTGAAAAGTATTGACACGGTGTGCCCAAAAAGTTCAAGTATCCATTACGCAGCATTTCAAAAATTGAGTTAAATGTGGGTAAAAAACAGCAGAAAATATGGTTAGAATTGTTTTTTAAACTGTAACTTTTTTAAAAAGAATGAGAAGCAAGAATCAAGGAAATGATGAATTTTTGAACTAATAGTCGATGTAGTCCTTACTATTTGATGCAGTACCAGCATTAAAAGATTTTATTAGTTCTAAATAATTCTAATATAACTCTGAGGTCCAACATACAACACCCAGCAGACCAGTAGGCAAATTTATTTTGAAGCAATAATCACCGGGCTGAAGTGGGAATCAAAGCCTAACATCGTGGAACTTACACACAGTTTACCTAAACTGCAAGTAAATCCACTATTCGCATGACCATTATGCCAAAGAATAATTTTATTATATTACTAAAATGAAAGTCTGATAGTTTCATATTTGAAGTCTCAGGATCTTGTAATGATTCTAAATTCCGGAATTTATATTTTTCCTACGTCCCAGATCATATTTTTTTTTGTTAGTATGAATTTACTTGGAATCCTTCACAGGATATCTTCGCATTTTTTTTAGTTTAATTTGAATCATCCTAGAATCCCATCATATTTCTTTTCTATACTCCCCTAAAATAATCTTGAAATCATCTAAACTTTTCCAGTAACATTCGAAGAGTTCTTAGCATTGCCTCTTGAAATCTCTTATAAATCACTCTCCAATTCCACAACTCCCTCAAATATTCTTAATTTCCTTGGTACACTCTTCAGAATGATCGTCACACTCTTAGAATTGGTTTGAAATCCTTTTCAGCATTACCTAAGTACTCAAGTACTTTGCCAAAATGGTTTTGAAAGTCTCCCAGAAATCGCGCTTAAAATTTTATTAAAATTAATATCCATAGAAACAGAATTCAATTGAAATTATTCTCACGATTCATATCAGCATACTCTTTAGGTTTCATAATAAGAATTTTCTATGATTTCTCTTCCGGATTGTATTTCCTTTATGGACAAAATCTCCATGTAATTGACACCGTCTTCAACCAGAGGTTGCACAGACTGAATATTTAACACTAGACAACGGACAACACACCACACCCATTAGAACAGTAGATAAATTTTCAGGTTGCCAAAATTTGCACCGGCTGGAGCGGGAATCGAACCCTCACTTCGTGGCACTCACAATATGCCTAAATGATGGGTGACGCCGCACGACCCTGAAGCTCACAAAGATGGATGTAATTCTACTCAGAATTAGCTTGAAATTATCCTTTGATTTCACAAAGAATTCGCCTCACACTTAACTGTGAACCATTTTCAGAAGTACCTTAAAATTCCAATAATGTTCAACGTTGATGGCCTTTAATAATTAAAGTAGCAAGTTTGGCTTTTTATTTTTTTATTAGAGGGTAAATCATTTGCAGTGATATTTTTAAAGCAACATGTTTAAAAAATCTGGAAAAATGTGGAACATATTTGAAAAATCTGGAAATATACGTGGTCTGTCTGTGTATCTAGCAAGACGACTAAAAATCTGGTAAATCCAGATAAATCTGGAATACTGGCAACGCTGGTTCTGAGGCATAACATATCTGATCACGCCTTCCTTCTGGAAGTAAAGTCGTTGGTCCCCGGTTGAGTTGATGGGTCGATAGGTAGGGTCCAGGTGTGGGAGCTGCGTCCCTGGCGTCGGTAGCATTGGAGCTCAGTACGGAAAACAAATCTCGCGTCACTTTTAAATAGGTTCTATCTACATTGATCGATTCTCTTCATCTCTCTTTCGTAAATAATTTGGCTTCAACAATGTTTCCTGCCGTCTTCGTCGAATTAGATGCTAGATTTGATTACATGAGCATTTTGTGTGATCGTTGGTTCTGAATATGGACAAACAGGCAGATGAATTCTATTCCTACTCTTTACTGTAATAAGCTTGGTGGCCCTGAAAAGAGCCGTTTTGTTGCCAAAGTTGGTGATGATTTAACCTCTGAAACTAAACAGAGTGCGTATCTGTCACTTCAAAACGTAGATGACATCCATGACCGGTTACGCTTGGCGTAGGTCCTTCAGCACACCTCGTAAATCAGACCGGAGATACGTCAGACACCGCCACGGCGAGCCAGACGACGCATTGTGGTTATCTCGAAGAATTTGGCGTTTGGTACTCTCTGATGACTGTGCTGGGGAAGCAGCATATGCATGTAGGTAATTGATGGATTTGTTAGTTAATTCGACGCTTTTGGACAATGCTGAACATTTACCAGTTTTTCAATAGTTTCAACATTCGGAAGCATTGTTATCGATGCGTAGCCATATTTCTGATCGATTGGTGATAAAATTATTGAAATTGGACCAAGGGCAGCTGAGTTATTAACGTTCAAAATCTTTCTTAATTTGTTACATGTTCCATTTTCGGTTTTCACAAAGTGTACCCCCATATAGAAATCAAAGACGTAGTCCTACGTCAAAAATAGACCAAGGACCCCAAGGGTGGGGCCAGGAGTCAAAATACAGTAGGAAGAGAAATAAACTTATCGAAAATCCAACGCACCCAATATCCTACTTAAATAATCCCAATGACACCAAAACCACGCGAATCATCGCTGCTCACAAGGTCACCACTTTTGAACCATTCATTCATTTATCACTTATCCGCGCTGGCTAAAAAACATCACTTTCATCCAATCCGTGTAAGGTAATGTAGCTGTCAATCTTCCAGAAATTACTGTCCATCATGATTTCTCCGCCTTCGAAATTGAAACCACACCAACGTCACCGGAGTTTAACGTGAGCTCACAAAAATTATTATCTTCCGTCAATATGATATAGGCGTAGGACACTTTCTCCTCGTCGCTAAAATTTCCCACAGACAGTTTAGCAACGTCGTCCGTCAGTCAGTCAGTGCGTCAGGCGGTCCATCCACCGGACATAAACAGAGGGCAGGGATGGAACGCTTTTTGGAGCATCGTTCATTACTTTTTAATATAGAAGCTAACGATAAGCTCAATTAAAGTTTCGTTTAATCCATCTTAAAATAGATAAATTAAAGCTTTTATTATACCGATCAAAATTCGCACCTTTGAGTCACAGTCCGTGATTTCACTGAAGATTAACTAGAGTGCGCACTCGGGTTCATCTTCAGTGGAGACACAGAGTGTGGCTCCACGGTGCGAAAATTTATTTATTTTAAGATGGATTAACTGAAAGTTTAATTGGACTGACCGTTAGCTTTCCATATTCAAAAAATGAACGATGCTCAAAAGAGCGATTCATCCCTGACGGAGGGTAAATAATTGCCCAGACAGTCTCAGAGTGATTGAAATTCCATTAAAACGTGAAATGAGCTGAAGAAGAAAAAAACACACACGACACTGTATCCACTCTCATCATCACTCGGTCAACTGATCATGCCACACTCTGTCACGAATTTCGACATGTGCAACGTTACTGCGAATCAAGCGCACCTGTGGGTCAACTACTTGTCGCAAATTTAACATACATATTCTTTTGAGCTGATCCAGTCCATGCATTCGCATTTTCAATATTTCTTGAAGTTTCGTCTCAGCTCAATCGTAAAATATCAAGCACCAGCCTAAAGACCCAACCCCGTACGCAAAGTTTAAACAGCTCTCTTCCTTGCACAAACTGCACGGATCAACGAACCCCGCAATTCGAAACAAGCAAACAACGTACACAACACTTTCTTCTCCGTATTTAGTCGCGAGTGTCGCGCAAAGACTCACTAAACTAGCCGGGAACACGGCAACTAGTTTCAATTAACACACTCTCCCTAGGGAGCAAAGATGATTAAACTATTACCCGTCGGTTGATAATTAGAGGGACACACAAAACAGCCTATCGATGTTTTTTTTTTGCACTGCAGATGAAAATCTTATGCGCTCGCGTGAGTTTACTTTGACTCGAGAGAAAGACGACCGAACCACTCGGCAGCTAGCGACAAACTCAACGATGCTTCGGAAGGTGAGGTCTTGGCTTCTCCTCTCACCGGGCTCACTGCGGATGTACAGCTTCAGATGGTCGCTGGTGTTGGATGATCGTGCAACCTCAACTCAACCATCAGGTGGCGAATCGCACGGTTTCAATTGCAGATCTTATATTGGTAAAACATAATCAATGTTGAAAACGATGATTATTATTGTACTATGAAAAATAAGGAAACATTGATGATTATTACTAGAGTTGGAAATGGCTTTTCAGTCTAGTCAAAAATAGAACAGCAGTATTTTGATCTTGTCGAGACTGAAAAGCCATTTCCCACTCATACCTTTTTCCCAGTCGATCAGTAACGACTCTTACTAAATTCAAGCAAAACAAAATCTTGTCATAATAAATTAAATTAAACATAAATAGATGCCGTTTCCAGAAAACCCATTACCTTTCGCTGAACCAAGTAAGCAATAAGAGTCATCCCTAATAAAATTTATATGATCATTTTGGTTAACGACGTGATCGGGGTATCATCCAGACAATTTGTGGAACAGTATCGTTTGTTTAAGGTAATTTGTCATTAGGGATACCATATGAATTGACCGAACTGATTGCATCGACCCTCTCTGATTTGATCCAAAATTGCAACACACACACACAGTGAGGCTGTGGAGAGTGGACTAAGACTCCTCTGATTTGAAAATATCCTATTCCGACTCCGATTCAAACAAAATACAGCAAAAATGTAATTCAAGGGATTCTGGTTGATTAAGTGCTTATGAAAATATTGTTTAAATTTAGCGGAAGTGAATAATCACTGAGTACACAATGCCACAATTATTTCAGTGAATATTCACTTCCGTTAAGAGATATACGTACCGTCTCCACTTCCCACGTTTTTCAACTTGCCCCGGTTTGCCTTACATTTAAGGAAAAACACACTAAGATTTTGTTCCGTGTTCGGTAAATTTTAACGAAATCAGAACAGCTGAACGTTCGGTAAAACTTTGACGTTTATTTTGAAGGCTATTGAATTTGAAAATAATTTGAAAACATGTTCAACTTTGTTTAAATGATAAAATCTTGTCATTTTAGTGGAGATTTAGTTTCAAAGTAGTTGAAAAGCAATTGAATTGAATTGCTTAAATTTTACCGAACAGTTCAGCTGTTCAGATTTTGGTAAAAATTAACGAAGTCGGCGATAATTTCTAAAGGTGAAGATTCCTTGAGATGGCTTGGAAATTATTTATTGATTTTTTAAAGACATTACATATATTTTTAAAGAGGTGCAAATATTTGTTTTTAATCTACTTCATTTATTTTGAAGGCTCAATCGCGTTAACTTTACGGAGCCAATAATGCATTGTTATTTTTTTGTAACATAATTCACTTGATACATATATTTGAAAGGTGGAAATACCAAGCGTAAACATTCCAGTGATTTATTGAGCGAATTCTGAAAAGTCATGAAAAGCCAACAAAATACCATAAATAATCTTTAAAACGCTTCGATAACCTTAAAATGAATATAAAGAATCCCAACTTTTGACACTGGACTGGTCCCAACTGGTCTTATTTTTCAAAAAAAATAGTCATAATATTAAAAAAAAAATTTTAATTTTAAAATAAACTGGACACCACTTCAAAAAACATTGAATAAGTATCAACCAAACTTTTCTAGCGGCGCCGTTGGTGTAGTGGTAAGCGTGATTACCTCTCACTCCAGCAGGTCTGGTTTCAATCCCAATCGCTCACCACTTATAAAGCAACTGCATAAAAATTTGGCAAACAAAATTGACACCAAATTCCAGAAAATCGGGTGAAACACAGGCTAGATTCTAAAAATAACAATAATAAAAATAATAACATTTGTCGCAACTTTTAACGAATTCGATTACAATTATAAAATCAAATTTACCAACGAAAATGGTAACTAATCACATCTTTCAGTGAAATGGACGCAATTTGTAAAACTGACTTATTTATTATTGATATACTTGTTTATCTAGTTTGGCTTTTGACTTCCAAGCTCATTCGGGTTAGCTCTACGGAGCCGATAATTCATTGTTCATTGTTTTTAACGAAATTCACTTATTTCTATGCCTAATAGGAGTTGGGCCGAATATTCACGGCTTACCGGAGGTTAGAGGGGTACATTGTCGAAGGATTGGATCAGGGGAGGAGCTTGGGGTTAGGTTTTGTTGTCTCATCAGAGCGTTGTCACCAGTTTGAACGGTGGTGCGGTTTTAGATTCGTTTGGAGTTCGACCGGCTATGGTGAACAGTGGGCGAAGATGGAACTCATCGAGACGGGAGACAAAACAAAAAAAAACTAATAAAGAGAGACAAAAAACAAAAGAATTTAATTCTTATACTAGACATTTTCCAAAACACATAAGTCGACTGCATATAGCAGAGATCGCGGGTACCCAATACGTCTCTGATAGGGATATAGGGTTGTCTTGCTTGGGCCTCGAGGGTATTCAAAAGTCGCTCTCTGGCGGCGTCATTATCCGTACATTGCCAAACTGCGTGATCGATGTCATCGTAAGCGTTTCCACACCGAAAGATGTTGATGTCCACGAGAATTATTCTATGGAGATGTACTAATATACTTGGCTTAATTTCCAGCGAATACTTTTACAACATCCAACGATATTCATCGAAAATTTTCACCAGTTTCAACATAAATGGAAACAGCTTTTGTAAACACCGTCCGAAATTTCCAAATAAATTTAACATGTTTTATTTTTAATTTTTTCCCACAACATTTGATGAAATAAACCACAGCTACTAGAGAATCAATGGTGGATAAAATCCCAAAATAGGAGACGTCATAAATTTTCAAAAATTCAAGAGCAGTTTTTTTGTTCATAACAGAACTTCGATTTTAAACGAAAAAATTACTTTTGAATTAAAAAGTAGAAGGGTCCTAGGCACAGGCACGAACGAAAACTTGACGTAGGACCGCTAGTGGACGGAATAAATGTGAAGAGCATTTAGTTCTTTTGATTGATCAATTATCTATTATCTCAACTCTTTCCGTTTTTGATTTGTAGGCGTACCAAATTTGTAGTATTTTTTTTTTCAAAGAGAAAGTTGATTAAGAGAATCAATCAAAATCACTTGCACCCCTGCTTCCAAGTTTGGTTACAAGATTACAACTCTGGAGAGAATTTTGTGTGGTCGTTGGGGACGTGTTGTTCTGAATATGGACAAACAGGCACAGATACATTCTATTCCAACTCTTAACTGTAATAAGCTTGTTGGCTCTGAAAAGGGCCGTTTTGTTGCCAAAGTTGGTGATGATTTAACCTCCGAAACCGTTCAGAGTGTATCTGTCGCTTCAAAGCGTAGAAGACATCCATGACTGCTTACGCTTGGCGTGTTCAATGTAGGTGACAGCATAACGGATCACATTTTCCAGGAACACCTTAAGCACACCTCGTGTTTTCTCGTAGATCAGACCGGAGATACGTTTGACACCGCCACGGCGAGCCAGACGACGGATGGCGGTTATCACGAAGAACCTTGCGATGACGCTTAGCGCCTTCTTTACCAAGACCTTTACCTCCTTTGCCACGACCAGTCATTGTTGCTTGTGGGGTAGAAGAGTGATCTACCTAACCTGCCACCACCTTCCAAGTGCTGCTATTGCTGCTTCAGCTGCCTGGTCACCACGCCGTCCGAAGCGAAAATGAGTTGAGGCTACTACTACTACTAAAATGTTTCTTTATTTACTTATTGTCTTGTGGTTTACAATTATTGTACATTTCAATTGATTTAGCCCGAAAGCTCTTCATCTTTGGCGATTTTGTCTGTAACAAATTACTGTTTGATTTTACTTTTGCATCGTAATTATTTACATTTTGCTTTTAAGGAGTTGTGGTTAGACAGCAAGGCTCTTTTATATCTTTTCAGGTTAAAGCAGAATGATGTGCAACCAAGCGGTACTTGATTATGACGACTGGGTTTATCACTTTCTTATTTGTACATTGGACAATGCTTGACATTGCCACTTTTTCAAAAGTGTTCTTGTTCTTGTGGAAAATCATCAGTCAGAAGCATTGCCATGCGTAGAAATATTTCTGATTGATTGGTGATAAAATTATTGAAATTGGTCCACGGGCTGCTGAGTTATTAATGTTCAAAATCTTTCATAATTTTGTTACATGTTCCATTTTCGGTTTTCGAAAAGTGTACCCCCGTATAGAAATCAAAGACGTAGTCCTACGTCAAAAAAAATAATGACGTCCCCTTTCCCCTTAAAAAACCACAGCTGCTTTCAACATTAATTACACCTACTACCCTGTGTAAATTTTGTCTAATGCTTTAGGAAAGCAAACTGTGAGTAGCTGCACGTGCATCAAGTTTCATTTTTAAGCAACAAACGAACTTTTTGCTGTGGAGATTATTAGTATCCGTTAGTATCCTGGAAGCTAAGGTAAGTTTTAGTTTTAGTTGTTTGAGCTGTTTTTATGAGTTTCAAACTGCAAGCGAGTTTTTTGCTTGATGAAAGTTTGTACGATTTGAGAATGCAAATCCGAACACTGAGCACAGGCCAGTTTGCCTAAAATTTCAAATTCAATTTATTAAATGTTCATATAGTCAACTTTCCATACATTGATGTCCACTAACTCGATGTCGAATAGAACCATAGTAAAAATTAATTTCACTGTCTACTGTAATAGCGATTTTGTAAGGGATTGTTATTCTATAACTCGTTAATTCCATAACTCGATGGTCCCTTGAATATCGAGTTGTAGAGACTTCACTGTATGTAATACAGATCATGTTTCCAACACTAGTGACAATATTGACAAAGAGAAAATAGAATCTGGCGTGAAATTTAAACTGGAAACGGTATTTGATTTGGAACTTACATTTTGATCAATTGGATTTTTTTTCTACTTTGAAATCTATTGTTTAAGGACAATTTTGACATTTCTGTCT